TCTCTCTCTCTCTCTCTCTCTCTCCACATGGATTGCTCAGCTGTGCAGATGTTAATTAAATCCTCTCTCTTCCCCCCTCGCCCCCTCCCCCCCTCTCTCTCTCTCTCTCTCTTCCTCTCCCACTCTCCCCACAATGACCAGACGAAGCCTTAATGGAAGACGAAAGGCAAAATCCGAAATACATACCCACGCCCACACCCTTTCGTTGTTATTCTTTTTTGGAACGCTGTCTTGCAAATTATAGGAAAGGTTTGAAGTTTTAAGAGTTGTTTGATTTTTGTTTACAGTTTTAAGTCTATGTGTTTGCTATTTTTTTTTGAGCTTTCTTCTTTCACAAACTTCAACATTTGAGATCTGGATGCAATACTTTGTTCTGAATTTTGGTTGAGGTGTGTAACATTTGGGTTTTCATTAAATTCATCTCTTACGTATTGTCAACTGCAGTTTAGTAATTGCAATTTAAGTTCGTGGAATCGTATTTGCTGTCAAGCCTTTTAATTATGCTCAGAGAAGAGGATTTTTCTATTTAAGGTAAAGTAATTCCACCTTATTCTTAATGGGCCTTCATTTTATCTTAAAAGGCTTGTGAATTTTGATTCTACATTTGTATAATTTTAAGTGCCTATGCTTCATGATCTGGTGCACTCTTTACTCGTATTGATTTATTGATTTGAAGTTTATGCCCTAATTAAAGCAATACAGACTAATTTGGATTTTATTTCGATTGTAATCGATCATGATTTCTGCTCAAAACGAATTAACACGGTCATATTAAATGGTACACTTAATTGTTATGATAAATTATAGAGAAAGATGTTAAGATCTGCTTCCTGATATCTGTTGTTGTCGAAGGCTGAGTTTTAGGAGTGGAATGTAGTTATGGTCCAGTATGAATTTGAGCTCTTGAAGTTCGGTTTTTCATATACTGGAATGAGTATTGTAGCCATGGCATTTGTTAACTTTTGTCTATTAGCCAGAATGAGCGAGTACAAGGATTGTTTTTTATTCAGTTTCTGAGGGGTGAACATGGTAAAATTATTTATTTTTGTGGATAGATATGATGCTTGTTGGAACTTTCTGCAATTGAGCTTAAACAGTGAGTTGATATGCTACCTTCCCATCAGTGTGATGTGTAAGACAATACGAGACATAAGTGCAGTTATGAAATCAATCGTGTTCTATTTAACCGCAATATGGCATGAATCCAATTGGAAGATTTGATAAACCACCCTTAATGCCAAGTCTTACAATGTAAGATTATCCATTATACTTGAGATGGTGGTGATTATTGACAATCCTTACCTTTTGCTCACAGTAACATTCTAGATTTTTTTATTAGGCAACAATAGCTTTCACACAGGACTTGGTTTCTTGTCATTATGTAATTTATGTGAATTATTAAATTGAAGTGAGCTTTTCTGGTCTGAAGTAAGCTTTATCATGAATACCAATTTTCCCATCTTCAAATAAATTGGATCATAGTACTTGTAGACCAACATGTCGGAGGGAAAGTAGACAATATTTATCAGTGTTTCCAAAAGCATGTAAGGCTTACTTATTCAGCTCCACCTTATGCCAAGGTTCAACTAAAAGCCTCAAAGTTCGCTTATTGACAGCCATGTGTAAGGCCTATACCTTGGCTTACTAATGTGTACGAGCTCGTTAATATTACCCCTTTTCAGCCACTTTTACTACTATCGATTTTTTGGGCGAGTTTTTTCATAGCTTAAAACTTTTAAGGATTTTTGGGGTTGTTTTAACTATAGTACAAGTAATTTTAGTAAAGAAGATCCTGTTTTAAAGAGTGTAATGTATAAAATATGTGTTATTTTATAAGCATTAATCCTCCAATGGAATGGTAGAAATGAAAGTAAATTTGCAACAGCTATAGAACCTTTAAGTCTAGACATAATGATTAAATATTATTCTATGTATACCATCTTAGTTCTGCTATCTATAAATGATTTACACCTGGAAGCTGGACATGTTTTACAAGTTCTAATAAAGCAAAAAAATAGGAACTCATTAGGAAACTAATGATAGCAATCATATTATGCATGTTCCTACTGGTTCAAGTGCTCTTTTTGATGTCTCATCGGGTTGTAAGGTACTTTCCCAGTTTCTATGCTTTTCATTGGAGTATGGTCCTATATTTTATTTTGAATGATTGCTTATTATGCATAATTCGGCATGTTCATTACAAGAATTGCATTCTATGTTTTTTTGCAGCGAATATAAGTGGAGTGAACATTGACTGATGACCAAAGAGATGAATTTGAGGACGTGCTACATGTGTTGACTTTAGAAAGAACCCATATTAAAGAAACTATAAGTTTTTCCTTGGATAATACTGATACGGCTAGAGAGCTAATTGTTTAGCTGATTTTACTGTAATTTGTTTTTTTGCTCGTTGAATAAGATCTCGAGCCGCGTAATGCCTTTTAAGCTATGAACTTAATCTCAATTTAAGATTGGCTCTGGAATAGCATGGGCAATGAGGCTAAAATTGTTAATTATGTATTCAAGTTCTAGACTATCCATTTGATACATTATAATTTTTTGTACGTAGCCGATGGAGGTAGTGTTGCAGGCAAAAGATGCACTGGAATCGGCTTATAGAGGAAAAGATGCTGTCAAGTCAATCTGGTTCTTGTTTATTCAAAAATATTTCATGATTTTGTATGTTTTCTTCTCCTCTTTTTTATTCTTACCTTTTATTGAATCAGCTATTTTTGGCTTTCTTATGTAAATATTATCTTTAACACATTGATTTTATGAAAGAAACTCCCTTTTAATTATTTATTGCTATGTCCGTGTAATTTGTTCCTACATACACCGCTAGGCATTAGTTGAGGCCAATTCTTTTATTCTTATTTGCTCATGGGCCATTTTTCTTCAGGGATGGAGAATGATGCATTTTGCTGTAGTTACATTGTTTTTTCATTGAGTAAACCTTTCAACTGTCACATACAACATCCCAGCATCCCTTAGATCTGCCACTTTTATTTTATACAACCTTTTGCGTGTGCATGTAGTTATATTGTGTTTTTCAGTATCTTCAGAATTTATTGACTGTCGTATGCATTCTTTGACAGTGCCATTAATTGATTTGCTGGAGTCTGATATGTCTGATCTTTTGTAGGTGGTCAACATATCTGAGGAAATTCTGAAGGTTAAAAAAGAAGTTGAAACTGAGTTTTCTGGTGTTGATCCAAGTTGGGGTCATGGGGAAAGCAATGTGAGTTTGTCTGGATTTGATCACAAAAACATCTGTCTTTTCTATTTAAGCCAAACTGCTACAACTATTTTGTGGGATTCTTGTTCATTCATTCATTTTTTATTTTTTGGTTTCTTGAGTATACATCCTTTTGCAGTTTATAGAAATTGGTGGAGGCCATTAATTCGTCCTTTTTTCCTCGTTGCATCCTTTGATGATAAATAATAGGCTATGATTTGCTTTTTATAGGTTCCAAATCAGGCTCAAGGTCGTTATTCTGAAACATATAACCGTAACTGGCGAAATTGGCCTGCACAGTTTCTTGTTACTGGAGAGAGATCCTAGGAAGCTATTCGAGACAGAGACTTTGGTGGTCGGTTTGATTCTAGGCAACAAGAAGTAAACCAATACAATAGGCAAGAGCAGCTGAGGTTGCAGTTTGCAAGATCTTAAAACCATGGGGTAATTAAAGATAATCCTTAATACTGGTGTTTTCTTGCACTTAATCTTTGTTTTTGAGTGCCTGTGTGAACTAAAAGCATGTTGGACATGTTTATAATGGTTTAAATTATAAATAAATAGAAATAAGTAGTGGATAAATAGATAGTGGTTGTGTGTACCTCGAAATGAGTGGATAATTAGTGTGAGGGTTTGTAAACAGTTTATATACATTAGCCAAACATAGGCTTAAGTACCTGATCCAAATCAACAAGCTATCCTATCATTTTCTTTTGTAAAATATAGAAAAAAAGTTAGTAAGTTCCACGAAATCTTGTATGTACTATTTGTTAGATCAAAAGATACTGTTTTATTACAATTCAATATTATTGGAATTGTTTGTTAAAAATGTCAATGCTTCCAAAACATGTTGATGACATATCCTCAAAGGCTTAAAATTTGACACACTGGTCATCTAATCAAATTAGTTGCACATTCAATAAAGATTAAATTATCTTGTGTCAGCTCATCCTCAAGATAATATGTTCATAAGTTTAGTACCAACAAGTTTCTACCAAACACGCTAACATTACCTTTAAAAACAACACAATGCGTGCATTGCATGTGCAAAAAACTAGTTTTATATAGAGTGTTATTCATATGTATTCTTTTTCTTCAGCAATATCATTACATCAAGTACTTTCATAAAGTACATAAAAAACATTACGCATATCAATTATCTAATACGTAAGACGTGCAATGCACTTACTTACTACTAGTAATATCAAAATATAAAATTTTAAGTCCTTCGGGACATAACCCAGTGGTGCAAAGGAGATGAGTGAGGTAGTTTCAGCCTTGCTGGTAGTCGCAGTGTGAGGGTCCTAAGATATGGAATTAGACTCTTTGTGGGCATCAGTGTACGGTCGAGCTCTTGTCCTGGCTTGCTAGGGTACATCCCGCGATTTACCTTCCTCACGATGCTCCAGAGGTGGGGCCCTTCAAGGTTGGGGTTCAACCTTTTTTAAAATACAAAATTTTATACCGTACCAACCACTCTTGACTTTCCACCAAAAAAGCACCATCGTCACTCCCTTGCTCTCAAGATTCATAATTTTCTGGCAGCGAATGGATTTGGAGAGTTATATTAAGCTTCATATACAATAGGGTGGTCTATATACGATATGGAGGAATTTGAATTTTACTTTAAAATAAAAAATAAATACTAATGGAGAGGAATATCACAAAGAATTCAGGTGCATATACAGAATGTACACAAGCACGATTAGTTTTTTCCTTTGGTTTACAATTTTAATTTAATTTAAATTAAAGTTGTAATGTATGCATCTTCCTTCAACATCGCATCATCGAGTTGCCCAATGACCTTATTGTAATTAGTGATGTAAGTCTGATAATGCGTTTGGTGGTACGGGCAAAATTATGTCGCCACTGATGGCTGGCTTTAAGTCTTAACATGATATCATAGCCCATTAAATTTTAACAATCGATTTGATCTGATTAAATCTCAATAAATGAGCATATAGATTTCATGATTAGTCTGCTCAAGCGAATCACCATTTTGTGGGGGGCATGTTAAGGGATAAAATCATAAAGGGTTTGAGTTGCTCCTCTTGATATGGTTGACATTTTAAGATGGAATCTCAAAATCTTTAACATGATATTCGAGTTCATTAAATTTCAACGAGTGATTCGGTCCGATTAAGAATTAATAAATGAGCATACAGATTTTAAGATTGGCCTGCTCAAACGAGCCACCATCTTGCGGGGTATATTAGGGGATATAAACCCACATCGATTAAAGATGACAGTATAGACCAATTTATAAGGATTTCGACTATTCCTCTTAACAAGGTAAACTTTTAGTATGGAATCCTAAGTCCTAACATGATGTCTATCACCTTACTTTGGCCAATGCCTTTTATGTACTATTAGATGTCGTCTATAATTTCTCGCACTAATTGTTGCTGTCAGTGTTAAGTGATAAGTATTTTGTAGTTATTCTGATAAAATATAGCCTAGTTCATTATATTGTATTAAATAGGTGAAACTTGATGTTTCGTGAACAATTGGAGAAACGAATGCAAAGATAGTGAAAAATGGCAAAATCCAAAAGTCGATGACTAATGATAAGTGTATTTTATACATTTATTCAAAACTTTAAAACAAAGGTATTTAGTTGCTTCTCGGATGAATTATGGTTTAAATTATTGCATTTTGTGATGAATAGGTAAAATTCAATGACGGTACAAGAAATTGAAGGATGAAGTAAAAGTGGGCAAAATTGGATAAAAGAGCTAAATTGTAAGAGTCCAAAGTTCGGGTACTAAAGTGTAAATATTTAAAAGTTTTGTCGAACCTCACAATGAAGAGCCGAGAGCATTAGAAGTCAATTGGATGAAGAAAGATGTCAAAGGGATCAAATTTAGGCAAAATATGATCACAAATTAATTTTCAACGGAAAAGTTATGCTCCGGAATTTCATCCTCACATTAAGTCCCTTTTTTGATATAGCAAATGATCGAATTGAGAATGATATCTGAAGCGTAATTGTAGCACTTTGAGTTATATTTCCAACATATCTTAAATCGCCTCAATCGGATACTGAGAAAAAAAGTTATGATAAAAATACTAAATTAAAAAAAAAAAGAAAAAAATGTGTATATAGGTGGGATGCCGACGACAATTGTTGTCGCTGACGATTGATGCTGCCCGCCGCTGCAACTTGCAACGGCTGCAGCCGTCGGTGCAACAGCGTCATGCGATGCCGTCCCTGCCGCAAGAGTGTTGACGGTGCCACCAAGGAATAAGTAATAAAAAAATAAAAATAAAATAAAAGGTGTGGGGGCTCTAGGGTTTGAAATTGGGTGAGGGAAAGTTGGAGGCGGGGGGTTCTTGCGCAATTTGTGAAATTGCGAGCCCCCTGCTTGCAATTAAAATTAGGGGTCAATATGTAAATTTTAAATGAAGGGGTCATGGAATTTCAGTATTTGAGGGTCGTGTTAATAAATTTTAATTGGGTCAAATTGCAATTTCTAAAATGGTTTTGAAGTTTAATTTTAAAATTGTTTTAAGATTATATTTTAAATGGGTTTGACCTATAATTTCAATTTTGACCCAAATTTAAAATTTTATTTAAAATTAACAACTTTTATATTTTTCTTAAAATTAGATTTTAACTTAAATAATAAACTTTGACCCCTAATTGAATTTTATTTTATTTAGGAGTTTTGTCCTAAATTAAAGTCTTAATTCAATTTAAAATTAGAGTTGGACTCTATTTTAATACTTAATTAAAATTTGATTTTAATTAAATATTCACCCGAATATGTTCTTGTAATTAGAATTTGATTCTGATTTTACATTTAATTAAAATTGATTTTAATTAAATTGTCTCGCCCTAAAATTTTTTGTAAAATTAGAGTTGGACTCTAATTTGTTGTTTAATTAAAATTTGATTTTAATTAAATTAGTTCGCCCTATAATCTTAGAATTGGAGTTTGACTCTAATTTTGTTATTAGATTAAAATTTGATTTTAACTGCCTTGAATTTTAAAATTAGAGTTGGACTCTAATTTGATATTTAATTAAAATTTGATTTTAATTAAATAATCTCACCTATAATTGTGAAATTAGAGTTGGACTCTAATTCGGTATTTAATTAAAATTTGATTTTATTTAAATATGCACGCTAATTAAATTAATTAACTAATATGATTAATTAATTATTTAATTATCCCGATCGATTTGTCTAAAAGAGTTTAGACATCTTAATTGCTAGAAACTTGAAACATGTTTGCATATAATATTAGATATTATATAAAAATACATTTATGTGATAAATGCATTATTAGTGAATGATTATGGACTCGACCATGTTGATGTGTTGATTGATTGATTTTTATTCTTGTTATTATTATGGGTCTGCAAGCTCTTAATCATTTTGGACTTACGAGTCCGTTATTGTTATTGTTGTTATGGGTTTGCGAGTCCAATTTCATTTAAGCCTGCGTGCCAACTAATATAGGATACATGTTGCAGCTGGACTAATTGAAAAAACAATAAGAGAAGAAAATCATGGAGATGGAGCATTGTATGAGTCAATACAATACCCCATAGGAATTGACCAACTAGTCTTTCTCATGGGTCGAGAAGGCTAGATAGTAAAAGTCCATAATCGTCTACAGTATTATTTTATATTATATATATGTTTATTTTCATGATAGATGTATAATAAAATATATATGATTGTATCGTTGTTGATGAAACCTTTGAATGCAAAAACTCCTCAATAAAATATTAAGTCATATTTTACTTTCGCTTTCCATCATTATAGTGAAAAATCAGAGTCCCAAATCGTCTCAACTTGTTGAGTACACTCAAGGCTGGTCTATTAGGGATATATTTGACACTATGAAATATTGGATATTTCTGAATGATGGGTTCGATTTAACTAAAGTTTATCTTTTGTTGAGTATACTCGAGGAGGTAAATTTTAGAGGCATATTAAGCCAACATATAAAATGTGTGATGACAAAGAGTTGTCAGCTTAATGATCTGGGAATTGTATGAAGATACAATTGATAATAGTATCTACCCAAATGTTTTATTAAGGCTTGTTGAGTACACTCAAGGTCTTGCTATAACAGGTGGGATCCCAGTCCACTGGGAGTCAAGTATGTACTCCATAAATTTATGTGAGAGGATCATGAATTTGAGTTAAACAGTGGGAGCATAATTAATTTAATAAATGTCCATGTTAAATTAATTGATGCATTTTTTATATTACTATTATTTTTTTATCATTTACATTTATATTGAATCTTGAGTAACCACGTGTTTTGAATGGTATATTGGATGCTAACAACCAAATTGAATTTTCTTGATTGGCACTGCAATTTGAGAATTGTTCTCAAAGCATGAGAAAATTTTTTACGTTCTTGAGTAGCCCCTTCTAGAGACACATGCTGATGACTCGGTTAAGGAAGAGGTGGCTACTATAATAAACACAGTGATGACGATAGTACTACACATATGTGATGCTTGCAACTATGTCACCTGAGTTACAAAAGCAACTTAAGAGTATAGATGCTAACACATAAATTTTCATTTCAAAGAGTTGTATGATAATAATCATGTGTGGAAGGATATGAGACTTCCAAGCAACTATACCGATGCAAAATGATCGAGTAATTTTCAGTTGATGCTTAGATACTAAAGATGATTGTCATTGAGAGGTTGTCTCAATGAGGTTCAGTCATGAACTACGAACTAAGTATTGACTTAGTTTTGCAATCACTGTCAGAGAGTTATTCATATTACTTATGAATTATGATATGAATAAGCTCGAATGCACGCTTATTGAGTTGCTGAAAATGCTTAAAACTGTTGAACCCGATATCAAAGTTAGTAGTGGGCAAACTACTGATTCCTCTAAGGATATTAAAAGGAAATCTAATGGGGCTTTGAGAAAGCGTCCAATATGGCTAAGACCGTTAAAGTAAAGGACAATACCAAATCTAATGACCTTTGGTTTCATTATAGAATGAAAGGTCATTGGAAGAAATATTGCATGGCTTACGTTTACTTCACGTATTTGATACTAGATGTAGATATCATATTTGTACAAATATGGAGAAATGAAATAGGAGTAGACCACTGCGAAAGGGAGAAGTTGACTTACACATTGAAGATGAGCAAAGGTTGCTGCGTTGCCTGTAGGAGCGTACTTCTTGCTATTGCCTTTAGGCTTAATATTAGAATTAGAGAAATGTTACCTTGCACCCACCATAACTGGAACATTAAATAAATTTCATGTTTGGACATGAATTATTTTAAGGTTAAGGACAATTGTTGTTCTTGCTTATCTTAATTAAGATCTTAATAGTTATGATAAGTTATAAAATAATATTTATATTCTAAATACTAAGGATTCTATAATAAGTATAGAAATTATAAGGCATCAATGCGATAATCTAATTCTTACATAAATCTGGCATGACGAATTTTGTCATGTAGATGAAATGCAATTCCAAAGTTACATAGAGATGTATACTTGGGATCAATTAATTTTGACAAGTACGAATTATGCATGTCTGGCACAATGACCAAATCTTCTTTTACTTGAAAAGAAGAAAGGTCTACATAATTACTGGTCTAATGCATACTGATGCATATTGACTCATTTCAATTGATGTCAGGTAATGTTTCTCTTATTTCATCAATGATGATGTATACTTGATGAAATTCAAACATGAAACTCTTGAAAGGTTCAAGGGATTCAAACTGGAAGGAGAGAAACAAGTAGGTAGAGATATTCTCGCATCAAGATCCGATCGATATGGAATATCTTAAAGATAAAATTCTAGATTATTTAAGAGAGAATGCGATTCTCTTTCAATGGACTCCTCCATATATACTGCAGCAGTGGTGTATCTGAAAGGATGAATCGTTAACTATTAGATATAATGCGATTAATAACAAGCCATGCAAATCTCCCAAAATCGTTTTGGGGTCATGCGCTAATTATAGTGTGCAGCACACTAAATCATGTCACATCTAAATTGGTTAACAGAATTCCATCAGAGTTATGAAAAGACAATAGTCCCAATTTATCTTGTATGAAAGTTTGGGGTCATGACGCTTATTTGAAGCGCCTTGAATCGGATAAGTTTGACACTAAATTCGATAAATACATATTTGTGAAATATTCAAAGCAGATATTTGAATATAAATTCTATTATCGTGAAGAAAGTCTTCTTCTCACGATATATTATCTTCTTAGAGAAAATATTTACTCTAGAGAGGACAGTGAGAGCAAAATAGAATTTGAAAGAGTTCAAGAGCCTACAGATATAGTTAACGAAGTAGATGAATCCGAGTTTTATCCCATATCTGATATGGGACATACTCTTAATCAGGGAGTAGAGACTCCTGAGGATATTGTCAGCTCTATGTGAATCTAGTAGGATCATTCGACTTTTAAGAAGGTGTGAATCCATGATTACTAATCAGGCATTGCTGATCTAGGATGATGAACCCACAAATTGCACAAAAATAAAGTCAAGTGTTGACTTAAAGGAGATAGAAAGAGGGCCATGAAACCCAAGATGAATTCGACGTATGTGAACAAGGTTTGGACCTTGGTCGACCCTCCTGATGGGATAAAATCCATAGGGTGTAAATGGTTTACAATAAAAGGTTGATATGGATAGGAAGGTCCATTCATACAATGCAAGGCTAGTAGCAATAGGTAACAAAAAAAGACAATATGTTGATTTTGATGAAACCTTTCGTCTGTAACCATGTTGAGGTCCATTTGGATTTTGGTTGCAATAGTTGCATACCGTGATTGTGGGTTAAAATAAATCTATTGGAGCTGAAATTTTCGATTTGATGAAAAAATCAAAATGTTTGATTTTATCAAATATGAAGACGAATTGTGTGTTTGCAAGAAGATAGTGGGAGTATTGTCGCATTCCTAATATTATATGTAAGATATAGGAAAAGACATCCCAATATTTCAATTGTTGAAATAATGGTTGTTAAATGATTTATTCATGAACGATATGGGGAAGCAACTTGATCTATAGAGATAGATCAAGAAGATCGCTTAACGCATCCCAATCTATATAGATTAAATTTTGAGAAGATTTTATATGGAAAAATTGGTTTACTCTTAAACGGTGTGTTGGAAAGGTTCCAAATATGAAACAATCGTTGATTCAATAGTGAAAACCTAATGCATGATTGCTTCAGAAGCAGCAAAGAGTTGCAATGTAGATCAAGATGTTCATTAATGAAGTTGGAATAGTTCCTAATATTGTTGATCACATGCCACTATATTGCGATAATAATAAAGTTATCGCTCAAGCGAAAGAACTAAGGTCTCATCAACGATCCAAACATGTATTAAAGCGGTATAATCTCATTAGAGAGATAACACATAGAAATGACGTAAAGAGAAGAACGAATTCCCACATTTGACAATATTGCAGATCCACTGACAAAGAGTTTTTGTAGCATAAAAATGATCATCATGTAGACTCTCATGATATTAGATACATAAGTGATTTGATTTAGTGCAAGTGGAAGTTTGTAAGTGTTATGCCCCAGGTCCAATCAACCTTGGATATAAATATTTTTTGATATATAATTAATGCAATTTAATGGCAGATCTATTATTTAATTAATAAATAATTAAATTAAATAATAGAGTCCGTAGATTTAAATTTTCGTAATTTGTTAATCACAAGGAGTAGCGATTGTGAGATACAAATTACATATGATTGAATCTTAAATCATCCGTGGTCGTAAGTAATAATGAGATATGAATATCGTTATTATAGATAAACCATCACGTGTGACATTTCTTACTTGTGAAGTAAGTAGCTGATCTTACAAGCTAAAGTGTGATAACACTTAAATGAACACGTGAATGTTTTGTTATAGAACAAAACATTGGAGATCCACCAAGAGATTCCACATGGATAACTATTTGAGTGTCAGTGGTTAATCTCTAATGTTCGGTAATGAGATTGGTCCTTTGACTTGAGGTCGTCATAATATCTTATATGAGGACAGTCATGCTTTGACGGTGTTGGATGTTGCTCTGCCAAGGGCCATTAATACAGCATCGTTCGGGTATGTCAAGAATCGTATGAAGGTTGTGAATGACCAATAGAGGATTCGTCACTCTTAGTAGTAGAAGATTATGATCAGCGTTTCATTCAATTAAGTCGATAACAAAATCTTGGGCCAAGGTGTATTCATAAGTCGAATAGGAGTTTTCGACTTATATTGACTTAATAGTGGAGTGAAAGATATAATCGATATTTGGGATTGACACACTTCCATATCTCGTAATTGATCGGATCATATTGACGAAGTGATTATAGTTTCACGGTAAACGAATGAGTTTGGTTTTGTCATACCACATGACATTTCCCGTCACATGTATTGCCCTGACACATTGCTAGATGTCAATTTTGGACGGCGAGTGTGAATTAGTGATAAATTAAAAAGGTGTTTTAATTTATCAATTTTGATTAGATCAAAATAATATTTCACATCGTTGGACATCGTGATCGGGAACCTGATGGATCGCACACAAAAGAGAATTAAAAATTACAATTTGTCAATTAATTAATTTAACAATCGTTGGATAAATTAATTAATTGAGTTGGTTATTTATAGGTCCGAATTAATTAATTGGATTAATTAATTCACAGACTGAATTTAAATAAATGGATTAATTAAATATTGGACCGGACCAGACCAGACCCGTTTGGACTTATATAAATACATGAGTAGGATTTTCAATCCAAAAAAAAAAGTTTTCTGTGTGGATCACCGTTAGAGGTTGGACAATTGGACAACTGTGGATGACGAATCAAGATTGCTGGAACGAAAAGAATAACAAAGAAGTTTGCAGATTTGAAAAATGTACAATCTTTTCACAATTTCTATCTAAACACAAAGGAATTCCTGATGGGAATCGAAATCTGTTTTATTTTTTGCTGCGCATGTTAAGTAGATTCCCAACAGTAAGAATACAGAAAGCCTTGTAATGATGTTAAAGTCGATAATGAGCCCATAAATATAGCTTACGCCTGTTCGTGATGTGGCGAGGGTATTTGAATGGATAATTACCCTTCATCTTAATATTATACAGCTTTTAAAATTTACGGAAGTTGACTGGGCTTGTTCCTTTCAGTCTATCTCGTAGTTGGGGCTACTTGAGTTGCTTATTCTTAAACTTCGGAGGATGTAAAAACACTACAACCCGTAATTTCTTATGCAGTCATGGTGCTGTTCCAGGGAATTGCATTGAGAGGACTTTTTATCATTGATAAGGAAGGAGTGATTCAACACTCCACCATCAACAATCTTGTGATTGGCCGAAGTGTTGATGAAACACTGAGAACTCCCCAGGTAACACTATATATATTCACTATAACGAACAAGACAGACGTCTAGGATTTGGTCCCTCGAAACCCATGATACCGTTCGGCAAAACTTGATTGAAGTTCACAGGAAAATGCTATAGCAACATATTTTCATTGTGTGGTACTATAAAGTATCACTAAGGTAAATAACTCGGCTTCCATAGTTTGTTTACTTCTATGCATTTTAGAATTTCGATGAGTTTTTATTTATGGCACAAGCTGCTTCTGCAGGCCTTTCAATATGTTCAGGAGAAGCCAGATGAAGTATGCCCAGCAGGATGGAAGCCTGGGGAGAAGTCTATGAAACCAGATCCCAAGCTCAGCAAGGAATACTTTGCTTCTATATAGGTAAATATTGAACTGAGAACACAACGGTATTGTTATTTCTTAAATCGGAGAGGTTGTAAGAAAATGTTTTTAAGGCTACTATTGAGTTTTGGATGTTGCTTTGCACACCTTCGCTATACTGAACTCGTGTTTGGCCCTCATTTTTTAAAACTCATATATTTTTAATCTCATTGTCAACCACATATTTCGTGAGACGAGTAATTTTAATCAACTTTTCATTAACTTCTAATAAAATATATTAAAAGTTTGATTTTTAACTAAACCAAATAGGGGTTGAATGTGTCAAGCGTTCAAAATAGTGTCACATAGCATTAGATTCCTTGATATTTTTCCCCTCGTACTCACTTGGCATTTTATTACTTCAAGTGGAAAATTCATAGTCTTGAGCTTGACTCTAGCCGATCATCAATCGATGGCGTGTCCATCAATTTTACCGTAGTGGCATGTTTTGAACTCATAATAGTTTATATGAATAAGGAATCAGTGATCGGTAAATAAAAGTCGAAAGAATAATGATGGTAAGTTGGTAAAATAATCGATGATCAATGAGGAATCGATACATAGCGTATCTATCAATTTCACCATGGTAGCATCTTACTCTGTCAAAAGAATAAGTAATGCTTCTTTGATCAAGAGAAGACTTGGTCCTATTTGAGCTTCATTCTTTAAAATTTTATTTTTTTCAATCTCATTTTTAACTATGCACTCTCTTAATAAAATAATTTTAAATGTAAATTTAAAAAATTTCTCCATTTTGGAATTATATATTTTTCCAAAAAACTTATAATTACAGAATCTACTTTTTGAAATGAAGCTGAAACAGAGCCTTAGTTCCCTGAGTACAAGGAATAACTCACAGGCACCACACCTGCAACGCAGCATCTGTGTAGTGTCTTTTTATTTTTGTGATTTTTGACAAGAAATAATGATAATGCGTCAAATGGAATTTTGTAATAATTCTAAGAAAATTTGATAGTACCTGTAACAAAACTCTAGTTCTTAGAGAAAGCAAAATGCTATTGTTGTGACATGATGGTACGTTCGTAGACCCTTTGACAAAAGGACCAGAAACCAGCTGTTTTTTTTTGTCGCCGAAATCCCCTCTTATGCAATTTTGTCAAGGATCATGCTATATGTACACAATCTTTTACACACTACTCACAATATAAAGTGGGGACCACAGCTCGAATTATTTAATAACAGGTGGGACCCGCATGTTTGTGAGGGGGTATAAACCATTTGATAACCCCCTTGTATGTACATACATCTTTATCCTTTGTCAAATGGGGACTAGAACAAAGATACGACCTCAAATCCATATTTGTTGACAATTAATTTCTTAATCACATTTTTCTATTAATTTTTTAACCATATGTTTTACCAACTTTTATATAACATCTTGTTTGGGAGTGATTTTTTGGTCCAAAAAATTGATTTTTTTACCGTTATTTCATTATTCAGTCGTCATATTTAACTTCTTCTCTTACAGGTAGACCCCACTTTTCTCCTAACGATCAAAAAATCAATTCTCAAAATCACTTTCAAACAGGCTCTAAATCTATGAAAAATTAATTTTTACCTAAATGAAACAGGGCCATAATAGCAGGATGAATGTTTTCTTATATGTCACGGAAACTTGAGTATGCAGCCTAAACGTGGAACCTGTGCAAAAGTCGCAGCATACAATTATTTCTTGGACATTTGAAATTAACCCAACGGCCATATCCGTGGGCTCCAAATGCAAGATTTTTCTACTTATGAATCGGACATTTTAACGGCTAATAAGAAAGTGAAACAAACATTTGTCAATTGTTATAACAATATAAGTAAAATAAAATAATAATAAAAAAATTGATGTATGTTTAAAAGGATTAATTAGCTACAATAATTTTTTTTCCGCAAGTGGTTAATTACTTTCAAGACTTCTGAGAAAAATATTCAGTCTTATCGACTCCGAATATTAAGGGTTATTTAAACAATCATTTGAATAGATTCGTTGTACATAGAGATTATACAAATATAATAAAAAGACGAGGATTAGCTCATTTTCGAAGGTTAAGAATTAATATACTAAAGATGCAATTTTTCCAAAAATATTAGGACTGTTCTGTCCTTAACAAGGAAAATTTTGTTGGCTTCAATCGAATATGATTCTTCTTGATAAAGCAAACCGTTAGTGTCCCCCCTAAAATTTCATCTATAAGAAGCAGCCAAAAGCTGCAATATATTAAAAAGGAAGAAAAAGTTAAAATCAAGACTGTAGATAATTATCCTCGTCTTCTCATCTCCACACACTGAATTTCCATTACCAAATTCTCAATGCATCGCCTTTTAGTACTTTTCTCCCTTTTTTCTCTTCTCCCCATTTTTTCCTCAGCCCATAAAATCACCCTCTCCCTCTCCTCCGCCGTAGCACCACCACTCAGCAGCCCATGGCAGAAACTCAACCAACTCGCCGCTGCATCTCTGGCAAGAGCCCACCACCTCAAACACCCAAAAACCAACATTTCAGTCACCAAAGCACCCCTCTTTCCCAAGAGCTACGGCGGCTATTCTGTCTCTCTCAGCTTTGGAACGCCGACGCAGACACTATCCTTTGTCATGGACACAGGCAGTAGCCTAGTCTGGTTCCCATGCACACAGAGGTATAAATGCAGTTCCTGCAATTTTCCTAACATAAATTCTGTGAATATATCGAGGTTTATACCAAAATCATCATCTTCTGTGAAGATTTTGGGCTGCAAAAACCCGAAATGTAGATTGGTTTACCCCAATCTTGAATGTAAACAATGTGACAAAAAGTCCACCAGTTGTACTGAAACTTGTCCACCGTATATAATTCAGTACGGTTCTGGATCAACCGGCGGGCGATTGTTATCGGAAACTCTAGTTTTCCCCGAAAAATCTGTGGAGAATTTCATGGTCGGCTGCTCCTTATTCTCATCCCGGCAGCCTTCGGGCATTGCCGGATTTGGTCGTGGGCCGGAGTCATTGCCAGTCCAAATGGGCCTGAATAAATTCTCATACTGCCTAGTTTCTCACCGGTTCGACGACATGCCGGTAAGTAGCGAACTGGTTCTAATCAGTGGCGGCGCGGGCGCCACCAGGCCCACCACTGGTAATGCTACAATCAAGTACACCCCATTCCGCAAGAACCCAGTGGCTTCACATTCAGCATTTCAAGATTATTACTACGTAACACTTCGAAAAATCACCGTCGGAGGAACCCGCGTCAAAGTCCCATATAAATTCATGGTGCCGGGATCCGATGGAAACGGCGGCACTATAGTGGATTCCGGCTCCACCTTCACCGCCATGGATAATCAAGTGCATGAATTAGTTGCACAAGAATTTGAAAAACAAGTGGGGAAACATTATTCGAGAGCTGCAGATATCGAAAAAGAATCTGGATTAAGACCATGCTTCATTGTTTCAGGTGAAAAAACAATCAATTTGCCCAAATTAACTTTCAAATTCAAAGGAGGTGCAAAAATGGAGTTACCCATTGCAGATTATTTTTCATTTCTTGATGATTCTGTGATTTGCATGACTGTAGTCACAAATAATGGCATCGGTCAGGGGATTTTAGCAGGGCCATCAATAATTTTGGGTAATTATCAGCAGCAGAATTTTTACTTGGAGTATGATTTGGAAAATCAAAGGCTTGGATTCTTGAAACAAATTTGTCATTAATTTTTACCTGTTTGAATAAGTATTTGCTCCATAGTAGTAGGGTGGCAAAAAACAGAGCAAAATGATGTTTTTAATCATTAATTTTCTATCTTATTACTTATTAGATATATCTGTTCTTTTCTGACAGAAGAATTTATGTCTTGTAAAATTCCTTGATAAAATGTTGATGTATTTCGTAAATTCGTACTTTGTCTCGAGCTTGATCTGTGGAAACTTCTTCATTGATTTATACTTGGACATGTTTGACGGGACTTCTACCTCTTGTAGAAGACCTCTCGGAGGCTACACGTCAGCTTCCTTTGAAAGCTCTTCGAGCCAACTAATATATGTTTTCAGAAAATTGGTTAAACATGTTTAAAAGCAATTTTTTAGTTTCATAAGTAGTTTATGACTTTTCATAAGTTCTGGCAAGCAGACCCTTGTCTATCTAGTTAGTCGAATCGTAACATTCTCGAGGACATCGATGTTGGTCCCACAGGCTCAACTATGATATTGTTCGCTGGTGACCACATCTAACATTAATTTGGTATTAATATTGAAGTGGATTCAACGGTGGTACATATTTACCAACCGGCAACCCCTTTAGGCAGTAAATAGACGTGATCTAATTTCAATTCTTCTCACTGTTACAGCAGCACGAATCTCTATCCTATAACTCACATGCACCCAAAAATGCCAGCCACCGCTAAATTATCGCTTTGGTGATACATGGCACGATTTTCAAATACGTGACATGTAGAGCAATTTCTTATTCGACTTTACTACAGAAAGATATTTTAGTGAAAATAACCTTATGTCTGCTTCCTATAAAAAATAAAAATGCTTACAATCAAGAAAAGTATTTTTAAAAAATTATCAAAACATATTTAAAGCAATTTTGAATTTTTCAAAAGCTCTGTTAAACAAGCAGGTAGACATGTGATACACGAATAGATATTGATAAAAATAGTTGTCTTAGCTGCCACCGTTTCTATAATCTCTTCTCTTTATATTGCATGACTTTAGATTTGGATTACGTGACCAATTTACCTGTTGTAGGAACTCTATCGAGGTAAAAGAGCGAACTTTGCCTCTACTAAGAGTCTAAGATTCACTCAAGTTTTTAACAAGATTGTGTGTATTAACATTAAAACACCCATTGTATGACTAAATTTAATGCTTCCTTTCTCGTCAAAGTCAAGAAATTAAACAACACATCAAGATCAAGCATATATCTACAAGAATCAATCTACATCATTGACATTAAGTTTTAAGCAACACGATTCTTCTATCCATCATGAGCATCACATGTATAAGAAAAATAACAAATAATTAAAAGGAGGGAGGAAAGTTCGAGGAAGATTGCTAGAAATGCAAAATTATGCGAAGAACAAAATTGTAGGTCCAAGAAAAAGTTGATACTAGATGTAGAT